CTCTTTAAAAAAATAAGTGTTTGGACCATATGAGCTATGTTGTTTATAGTCAAGCTTAGTGTTGGCTGCACTTAATCAATGTCATAGTTAGTTTCTATTATGAAGTACATGCTTCTTTTGGCAGCAGTTGAATGATAAATGATGTTTTTAGTGAAGTTTCCTTGTATGTTAATGTAAGACAAGTGGTTCCCCCTGCCCCCTACTGATTGGGGGAAAAACACATCTTATATTCAAATAAATATGGTAACTATAATAAGATATTTTTTATTATTAAATTATTTCTTTTTACTCGACTACAGAATTTTTACATGACTTTTTTGTTAATTGTCATAACTCTGCATGGCTCAGAATGAAAGATGCCACCAAATAGACAAGGAAGATCATGATTCTGTTGCACCTCACCTGAACATTTATTTATATTCCTAAAGATAAAATACAGGAGTAAGAGGATACCCCCTGCACTTTCAAGTACCTATAAATAGAAATGTACATTTTTAAAAGAGGAAAGAAAGGCTAATCCTGAAGCAGCACTTTTGAGTTGTGTAGGTGCTTTTATTTTTATTTTTGGAAATCAGCTAAGGGACTAGAAGAGTTATAGTTATATTACTACAAATAGGGGAAAGGAAGAGAGAGGCTTTTTAAAATACTAAGTCTCGATCCTTTCTCGATGACTAGTTGAGAAGGCACTTCAAGCATAATGAAAAGGAAAAGTTGCAGAAGAGAAACCTTGCAGTTGCATCTTGGAGATGTGGTTACAAAGCAGCCCCGAGGGCCAAACCAAAAAAACTGTAGTTATCTGGAGAGCTTCCATATCAGTTCTTCATATCCACTCAGCCCCCTTGTTGACAGCATAACACTTCTACCTCGCACCTTATTCTTTCTGCACAATAACAGCCAGTAATTACCCACTTTCATGCATGGTATTGACCTAGTAGTGGTTGTCAGTTAAAAATAAATACTTAATTGTGACACAACCAGGTACAGATGTTCAGTTTCTACTGGGAGAATTACTGTTCTCTCAGTAGAAACCAAAATGTACAAAATACTCAAGCTTTTTCTCCCAGATCCATAATGGCCACTTCAAGAGAAAAGTGACCCAGGAACAACCAGGGTTATCTAACTCCCAGGAGAGTTTCTCCTAGAAGCCTGAAAATCTATACGCTTTCTCCTGACTTAACTTCTTTCAGGGACCAGGAGGAGAGTAGCCGGGGGAAAGGTTCCTGTGCCTTCCTAAGACAGAAGTCACCCCAGCCTTGAGAAAGTGTGGAGGCCACTCCCGCACTCCCATGGACTGGAAGGTGAGGGGAACAGCAGACACCGCTCCCTGGTTTTGGGAAGAGAAAGAGGGCTTTTGGCTGCTACTAGCTCCCCCTTGCTGCCCTCACGGCCTGAGTAAGCAGTGGGGCAGTGATTTAAAAGCTGGCAGCCAGGTGCAGAGCTCCAAGAATATCTTTCTTCTGGATCTCCTGTACTGTCTCACTACCCAGCTGAGTGGCACAGTGATAATTTAAAAACCAGCATCTGGGAGCAGGGCCCGTGGTCCCACTTCCATCTGCCAGCTTTTAAATTTCCATTAGTAGCAATGGTGAGATGGGAGTCAGGCTGGGAAAGGCCTCCACACTCCCAGCTCTTACCTCCTTGGCTTTTAAACTACTATCCCTGATGCTCACTTGTATGGCAGGGGGGAAGGGGAAGCCAGAGAAGCTGGAAGTTTTGAAGCTTTCCCTAGCTCAGGCCCTGACCACTCCAGCTTTCCTTTGTTGCCCATGCCTCCCAGGTGACATGGAGCAATGTAGGAGCCTTGCCACTGAAGTAAAATGGCACCTCATTATCCAACACTGCTCTGGGTCAGCCCAGAGAAGCACAGGGGGAAGTGGACTGCTATGCCCATGCTGCAAGGCTCCCAGAGCCTAGTCACAGTGACTGAGTGCTCCTCAACCCTGCACTCCAACCAGTCAGCCAGGAGCGCAAGGAGCAGGGCTATTCTCCTCTGGGGATGACCAGGAAGGTTCTAACCACCAGAAAATGTTGTTCTCCTGCTAGGCAGCTGACTGGCAGGTTGGAATGGCATTTAACCCAAGGCTGAGACCCTCCCAGGGCTGTCTGTGGCAGGTACTGCTTTCCAGCAGCTGCTAACTGCTAGTTGACAGCCTGCACCTTTTCCTGACAAGGGAGTGGATGGCTTGTCAATTAATAGGCTCCTTTAAGGGCAAGGATGACCCAGGGAGAAGCTCTCTAGTCATTGGGCTGGGCAACCAAATGTATGCTCCAGCTCCCTGGCTATTTTTCTATTGGAAGAAATTTCATTAGAAATTAACATCTGTACACAGTCACATACTGAATTGTACGTATGTTCAGGGCTTAAAGTGCTTCAAAGAAATGCTGTTCATGTCATGGCCCAGGGGTAGGATTTAAATAAATTGACTACAAAAAAACTGGGATAACTTAAGTACATGTGAAATCTCCCTACAGCAGCTACTGAACAATCTAAAGTATCATTTCTTTCGACCAAATTTATCTACTTCAACATCTGGGCTGTCATGATATTGTGTTATTCAGAGAGCATCATTTACTTTAACATGTTTTTAAGACTAAAGCACAGGGGTTCTAGGTGCGATTCCCAATTGTGACAGCTGTGGAATTACTGTGTGACCTTATACAGATCACTTGAAATTTCCTTTATCTCAGTTTACAGGTCCTCTGTAAAATGGAATTAATATATTTATAGTTGTGATAAGCGTGTAGTTAGGACTTGTTTGTAAAATGCTTTAGCCTACAAAAGCTCGAATTGTTAATATCAATGATTAGGCCCCTTGTCAACTAACTGACATAAAGACACAAAAGGTTTTGTGAACAGAAGCTCACTTCATCAGATATTAATAATCACCAATTATTATGTACTTATAGTGACTTGGAATGGTATCCTTTCAAAATGGCTAAAGTTGGTGTAATCTTAAGGAAGCAGTAATTCTCTTACTGCTTGCATCTAATCTCAGATTGTTTCAATATAAAATATGCTATAACAGATGTCACTTTAGTTTCAGATACTGGAGAGTTAAACATTTAATTTTGTCCTCTAGTGTCCTTTCCTTTTCCTCATTTATAGTAACCTAGTATTTCTTCTCATATCATTTTATTTATAGCTCTTTAATATTCTTTCTGACACAAAAACCCTTTATTGATTTTAACTAAGTTTTTAAATCTTGGTGAAAGCTATAATGGTAAATTTGCTCTCTAAGCATTTTATCCAGAGTTTATTAAGTTCTGAAGTTTATGTACTGGAAAAATGTTTGCACTTAACACTGGTCAGAATTCAACCTGACATCTACCACCAGCATTACACAGCATGGAAAGGGCTAATTATTTAACTTGTATATATTGGATAAAAATAGTGTTAAGGGTTAAAAGTGGCTTCAGTTATAAACTATAATACAGCATAATTGTATTTGTACAGTGTAGTCACTCAAAAATTGGAGGACTAACTAATACACCTATACTTTTATAAGCCAAGATGAGGACATAATTTAAGAGGGGGGTAGTTTTTCTCTATATGCCACACACAGGGATAGGAACACATTTATTGAGTTATATTCTATGTCCTTGAAGGTAGAAACAATACGGACGTGCCCTGATACAAAGCCGAATAAAATCAGTGGAAAGATGTTGGCCCAATAGCTATTAGATAGAGCTAATAAGAAACGGCATGCTTACATGTGATTTTACACTTTTTCCAGCTGATGCAGTTCTAGATGGGGACAGCTCTCATACTCCAGAGTAGTCCCCTGGAGTCAGAGGTTCTAGGATCTGTTTTCCTGCTGTGCCATCAAAGGAATTCCTGGTTGGCTTTGGACATATAACTATAATTCCTCCATCATGGTTCCCTCACCTGTAAAAAGGGATGCTTCTGAGGATTAACATGTTGGCAGGTGCTTGAGTTTCTTGGCTGGAGGGCGTTTTTGGACAAAAATATCATCATTATTTATTTACAATGACTTGGAAATAGATCTGAGATCATAGTGAAAGCTTCATAGCTTACAGGAACTCTATTTTTCTGGTCAACCTTGGACTTGGCCTTTTGGGCTAGGTACAGACATTACACTTAACACATGTTGAGTGCACAGAAAGTGCTTTAAAGCTGTAACAGAACAGGCATTCACAGCGCTGAAAGCACTTCAAAAATGGCAGATCCCACTCTAAGTTAACCCCCAATGGATGTGGTATTAAACTAAAGTGCTTTAGGTTAGAGTGCTTTTTTGAACATCTGTACCACACCCATCATGCTTTAATGCAGGTTGCATTCTGCCACCATCCCAGGGGCCCCTCACTGGGCAACTCCCACCATGAGGCCTCCCCCAACAGTTTGTTGGCTGGGGTCTCACAGCAGGTCAGGACATGTCTGTATGGAGGGGGGCTCTCTATTCTCCCTGGCCTGAGCCTCTTGACAGCTGCAGCCAAGAGCTCCAGTGTGGGGCTACCCAGCCGAAGCTGGTGGGGAAGGGAGCAAGCTGTGGGGAGGCCTTCATGGTGGTGGTGGGGTTCCTTCACCCCCCTTTCTTCCCCCAGCTGCTGCTGACAGTCACCAGCTGGCAGGGGACTGAGGATGGGGGTGGGGGTGGGGCTGGCAGCCTCTTGGGAGGCGTGTGGGAGCACCCCCCACCTGCTGGCCTCAGCCAGTACAGGCAGGCACCAAGCCCTCCCCCCTAGTGCATGGCAACAGTCTGTTTG